ATATAATTTAAATAATGAACTTAATTTATGACAACTTAATTAATTAGAAATTAGAATTCTTAAATATTTCCTTATCTATTAAGTCCCAAAGAAGAAAACTTTAATTCTTTATTTAATCAACTTTAAATTCACAGTTTTCTTTAGTATTCTTTATTTACTTTCTTAATATTTATATAATAATTTAAAATTTTTTTCATGGCATTGAGGTACATTTTTACCTTTTATGATTGAATTTATAATCTTTTTTTATTAAATCAATCAAAATTAGAATTTACTTTCTAAAAGAAATATTCTAGTATTTCTTTTATAATATTGATGTTTATCAATATGATCTCCAAAAAAGTTAGAAGGAAAATACCCTAAAATTACATTATTTCAATAAAATCAAAATATTCTCATTCCTATTTTAAGAATATGTTGTTTTTGTCCTTTTCAAAGCGAATTCAATATAAAAAATGTAATTTTGTGATATTTTTCCTTTTAATTTTTTAGAGATTTCATTAACAAACACATTTTTTTTAAAATTTATTCTTCAATTGATCGTGATATGATTTATTATTATGATATTTTATTTTTTATTCTAATAAAAATATTTATTTTAAATTTTTATTAAAAATATATCAATAAAAAAGATTATAAGTGAATTTTTTATTAAAAAATTAAAAAAAAATAAATTAATATCATAAAAGATACTCTTGAAAATTCAAATTTTTAATATTAATTTTCGTTCTCTTACTGCATTTTCTGACTCCATCCGTCCCTAAATTCGGACAAGCATTCCAATTCTCCAAAGTTCAGAAAGCAGGAACATATTGTCACTCATTAACTATAAAGAAATCAAATAACTGTACTTCATTTGAGGAGAATTATCTCACTTGAAAATGCCAAACAACATGTATCTATTGAATTATCTCAGAATCGAAAATCGTGTTTTTTGGGAAGTAAAGAAAATTGGTTAGACAATTGAAACGACAGCGTTTCAAATAAACGTTATCCTTATCTTTAGCTGGTCCCGATGGCGGGCAGATTTTGAATCTGTTTGATACGGTGATTAAAGTTCAAGGGGCAAAGAATAATGTATGGTAGATAATATATAGTGGATGATGGATAATTGTAGTGGGTAGCATTTGGCAGTTGGTAGCATGTGATAGTTAATGGATAAAGAATGATAAATAGTAAAATGTAAGTAATAAATAATAGATAGTGAATTTAATTAATATAATTATTTGATTATATAATAATTAGTAGTTGATATTTAAAATTAAATGATTAATAAAGATTTGTTTAAAAATAATTAAATGTATTTTTTCTTTTTATATTTTTATTATTAAAATTATTAATTTTATAAAAATAATAATAAAATAAATTATAATAGTGTAATCATACATTAATTTTTATTTTTAATAAAAAAATTATATTAATTTACAATAAAGTAGAAAAAATTTTAATATTTTCATTTAATTAGCAAATTTTGTTTATTAAGTTAATACATTTTTTTATGATAAATTAATGTAAAAATAAAAATATAATAATCACTTAATATTATTAAAGATAAAAAATAAAGTTGAAACTAATTAAATAAGTATTAATTAAAAACTAAGGCCAAAAATTAAAAAATTAAAATGAATAAATTTGTTAACAAAATTAAAAAATGCCAATCTACTAGCAATTTAATATAAAAAACTACTTTAGGTAGATTTTTTAACTCCTTAATGGTTTTGACCTTAACCACTATTCATCGTCCCAAATCATGCTAAATAAAAAATTTTAACGAACACCTAAGTTAAAATAGTTTTGAATAAATAAATTTATCAAATATCTATTTTTAACAGTTCGAGCAAACCCACTAACCGTTACCCCCCAAAATATTGTACTAAATGGGTCCTTTATGTATATATACAATCTCATGTGTCCCAAAATAATTGTTATTTTGAAGTTGTTTTAAATTAATTGTTAATTTTTTATTTTTCAAGGTGGATAAATATTTTTTTTTTATTTTTCAAGGTGGATAAATATTTTTTTTAATTCTAACCCTATCATTATTCATGCACTTGAATTAATTAATTATCCAATTACAAAAAAGGTCTTTCATTATCTTTTGTTTCTTTTTAAAGGATATTATAAATAAATACAATGATTGTGCCCAAATCTTTAATTTAGGGAAAAACATTAAAATATAATAGTTATTTTGGGACCAAACGAGCAAGTATGAGATTAGTATAGTGTGAGTCTTTCTACTAAAATATTTTTTATAGGAACCTTCTTAGAAAACCAACTTCTAATTAATATTTTTAAAGTCAACTATTTAATTGAAAATTCTATCTATGTAAATCATGTATATTAATTTTTATATTAATTTAATACTTATAACCCATTGATAAAAAATTATATTTACTAACATATATTTAAAAATATTAAATTTTATATAATCAATAAATTAGTTAAGCTTGCTAAAACTATTGCCCAAATGATGGCAACCCAAGAGAGGATAATTGGATTTTTGAAAACTTATGCATTTTTATTTTTAAATCGATGAACAAGTGCATGCAATGCTAAATGCATAAATTAAAGTGTGTAAATTAAAAGAATAAGAGAAGAGAAAGCTCAAACATAATAATTTATAATGATTTAGTTACAACTTGTACTTGATCCATTCCTCAAGCTACCTGCTTAAGAGTTTGATTTAGATTCAAAGCCTTTTCTCCAAATTCCAAGTGTAGAGGAAACTGTATGCTATATATAACTTTGTCGAGGTTATCTATCTTCAACAAACTAACCCCTTGTCACACACTCTCATGAACCCAATCTTATATCACGAGAATGGTTTTTCTAGATCTATAAGGCTACTTAATCCCTCTCTTACTTTCTTGATGAAACAAAATGAAGGAAACAATGATCACAAGATGATTGGAATGAAAAACTTAAACACATAGTATGAAAAGTTTTAATTCTTTCTCTCAAAGATGAAGGCTCTTCTTTTCTTTTCTCTTACTGTTGCTTCGACCTCCAATGGCCTATATATATTTATCCTTCAAAATTGCTTAATTTAGGCTTTTAGCCATTGCATTAGATTTGGAAATAATCTTGGTCAATTTGGAATGTAAAACTTGTCTTTCAAACTTTAGTTCCAAACTTTCTTTATAAGTTCCAGACCTTTCTTAAACTTCTTGACTACTAGTGCTGATGATTCACAAAAGTGTTAGACCTTTTCTCTTGGGGTTGGAACTTTTCAATTGAAACTTGCAAATACAAAAGCAATAGCTAAAAAAGTTCTTGCACAAAATCCTCGGTGTTAGAACTTTTTTTTGAACATGAAAGACATTTGAAAACCAGTGGCTCAAAAAGTTCTAGACCACCATGTTTTGTTTCACACCTTTTGCAAAGATGCATTTTGGAAAACTTTTGAAAAGGAAATTCAATTTGTTTTGAAAATGTATTCATTCATTGGTTAGACAAGATACTCAATCTTAAAAACATGATTCCAAAAATAAAATGGAATTATTTTCTTCCTTAACAATAAGAAATCTAAAATTGAATTTCTTAAGATAAATTTAAACAATTAAATTTCAAAATTTGCAATTAGTCCTTTTACATTTATAATTAAATTTTCATCATCATATTAAAATGAAAATTTTAATAAATTGGGTGAGAAGTATGTCAAAAATAAATTTACATTTCCATTAACTTTTGGCATCTCAAAATTAAAGTCAATAAAAAAATTATTTTTTTCATCTAAAAAGTTGAGAAAAATCTATACTATTAAAAGTAGAAAAATAAATTATTGAGATTTTCTGTAAGTATAGTATGTAAGATTTATATATAAATGGATCCCTACTATATATATAAAAGCATACTATGCTTATCAGTTTGACTTCCATTAAAAAAAGTAGTCTTAACTTTAAAAACATCAGCTTCCAATGAATATTTTGAAAAATTAATTTATTGTTAAACAAAGGACATCAATTTTCAATCTGATCTAATATTTATAATCATTCAATTAAGAAACTTACATTTCTTAATATGTATTTAGGACCTATTTGTTATAGTGATTTAAAGGTAACAGTTATCGGTTTTGTCTAAACTGCTAAGAATAGGTGCTTGATAAACTTATTTATTTCGAAACCACTATAAATTAGATGTTTGGTAAATTTTTTTATTTGGAAGTTTAGGACTAATGGATAATAGTTAAGATTCAAACTACTAGCAAATTGAAAAAACTACCCAAGGTAACTTTTTGTACCAAACATTTAGCGGATTGAAATTTTTTAATTTTATTGACAAATGTATCTTTTTTAATTTTTTACAACGGTTTTCAATTAGTATTTATCTAATTAGTTTGAACTTTATATTTTGTCTTTAATAATATTAAGTAATTATTATATTTATATTTTTACATTAATTTATCATAAAAATATATTAGCTTAATAAATAAAATTTGCTAATTAGATGAAAATATTAAAATATTTTTGTAATTTATTTAAAACTAATATAATTTTTTCTTTATTAATAATAAAAATTAATGTATGATTACACTATTATAATTTATTTATTTAATATTACATTGTATATGAAGTCAATTTTTTTTAATTTATTTTATTTATATATAATTTAAATTCAAATTTTTTTTATTAATAATAAAAATTA